GGGAGAGGCCACAACAATGAGAGGCCCCACTACCGCAAAAAAAAAAAAAAAAAAATCTACTAAAAAAATCCCTCTAAGGGTGTGGAGAAAAGGGAACCCTCTTGCGCTGTTGGTGGGAATGTAAATTGATACAGCCACTGTGGAAAACAGTATGGAGGTTCCTTTAAAAACTAAAAATAGAGTTACCATATGATCCAGCAATCACACTCCTGGGCATAAATCCAGAGCAAACCATAATTCAAAAAGACACATGCACCCCAATGTTCATTGCAGCACTATTTACAATAGCCAGGTCATGGAAGCAACCTAACTGTCCATCGACAGATTAATGGATAAAGAGGATGTGGCACATATATACAATGGAATATTACTCAGCCATAAAAAGGAACAAAATTGGGTCATTTGTAGAGACGTGGATGAATCTAGAGACTGTCATACAGAATGAAGTAAGTCAGAAAGAGAAAAACAAATACCGTATGCTAACAAATATATATGGAATCTAAAAGAAAAAAAGGTTCTGAAGAACCTAGGGGCAGGACAGGAATAAAGACGCAGACGTAGAGCATGGACTTGAGGACACGGGGAGGGGGAAGGGTAAGCTGGGACGAAATGAGAGAGCGGCATGGACATATATACACTACCAAATGTAAAATAGATAGCTAGTGGGAAGCAGACACATAGCACAGGGAGATCAGCTCAGTGCTTTGTGACCACCTAGAGGGGTGGGATAGGGAGGGTGGGAGGGAGACGCAAGAGGGAGGGGATCTGGGGATATATGTAAATGTATAGCTGATTCACTTTGTTATACAGCAGCAACTAACACACCATTGTAAAGCCATTATACTCCAATAAAGAAGTTGAAAAATAATTAATAATGATTCATATTTAACTTTATCTGAGTTTTCTTCTGAAACTTACCCAGCAAATTTACTCTCATCTTTTTTTAAAATAAATTTATTAATTAATTAATTTATTTTTGGCTGTGTTGGGTCTTCGCTTCTGTGTGAGGGCTTTCTCTAGTTGTGGCAAGTGGGGGCCACTCTTCATCGCGGTGCGCAGGCCTCTCGCTGTCGCAGCCTCTCTTGTTGCGGAGCACAGGCTCCAGACGCGCAGGCTCAGTAGTTGTGGCTCACGGGCCTAGTTGCTCCGCGGCATGTGGGATCTTCCCAGACCAGGGCTCGAACCTGTGTCCCCTGCATTGGCAGGCATATACTCAACCACTGCGCCACCAGGGAAGCCCCCTACTCTCATCTTTTATGAGGGTCAGAGGTAGCAAGATTTGTATCCATGGCAATCTTCCCATAAAATTCCTCCCCCTGCTATTTCCTATTTAATTAGTATGCTTACAACAACCACTTCAGCCAGCTCTTGTAAGGGGAATTCAGCCTATCACTAAGGTTTCTTCTACTCCATAACACGACTTTTTTTTTTTAATGCCCATTCCATCTTGTTCCTGTTATTTTCATCTAAGCCCAAAATGCGAGAGACAAACCTCCTGGCAGGTAACTCCTGAGTTTCTTCCCCTTCTCTGAAACTTGTATCTACTATGATGTCATCTGGTCAAAGAAGTCATTCCTTTACTGGGTATTTTTTAATTCACAATATGTGTACTGAGCCCCTCTTTCTCATGAATGCACATTTTAAAATGGAATTCAACTCCCACTGCTGTAAGATGTACCACGTCTGCATTTCACAGCCTGCTGTGACCCTTTCTTTGCTAACAGAGATGATTTTTTCCCCTTCTGAACTTTTGAGACATTTTGACTGGGATAAAATCGAACAAAGTAAAGCAGTTTCTAATATGTGTTTTCTTCTCAGCATCCAACAGCCCATACACTGCAGGCCGCCCCTCTCCACTGGAATGTGCTGACAGAGTAGTTCCACAAAGGAAGGAGGGTTGAGCTTTCAGAAAGGACTTCCTGAGGTCCCAGAATGGGGATGTAAGCCACCGGCCCAAGATGCTGTTTCATTCCAATTGCCAAGTAGTGCTGTCCTTTGACCCCAGCCGAGGACCTACTCTGAGAACGTCATGGTTCTGCTGTCCTCAGTTAAGATCTCAGCCACCAAGGGGACCCAGATCCAGGGACTCAGAGGTCCTCCCGGATCACAGCAGAGCTAGGAGCGGGGTAGGGGTTTGGGGGGGATGAGGAGAGAAGAGCCTCACACCAGCCTCAACCTGCTCCTTCACTACAGAGCAGAGATCGGGGTCATGAGAGGTGTATTAAACTTGAAGGGAACTGAAGGGCATGAACCCTTTGCGTCCCCTCAGGAGCTATTCCTATTCTTCTTATACCCTACTTTCTGGTGTTCACTAAGTTCGGGAAGCTGTCTGTGCTCGCCTTAGCCTGGTTCACCTATGACGAACACCCACAGTCAAGGTAAGAAACAGGGGAAGAGTGGTGGTCCCTGTCTGTACCAAGGATGGAACCACAGGGCTGGGGTGGGGGTGGAAGGAGAGAGTGGGAGAGACAGAGGGAGAAGAGGTGAGGAGAGGAAAGAAGAGGAAAGGGAAAGGAAAGGAGGTCAGGGAGACGAAGCGAGGGAGAGAGGGAGAGGAGCACAGGAAGGTAGAGGGAAGGGGAGGGAGACAGGAGGGCAAAGCTCAGCAAGTAACAGAGGTCTCTGCCAGGCTGCCCAGGAAGAATTGAGGCTGGTTTCTGGGTGGGTGCTCCCAGCCTCCTGCTATTTCCCTCCCACCTTTCTGACTGCTCCAGAAGAGCAGGGACTTCCTGTGTCTCCTTGGGGGTTGGATTCAGGGACTGTACCTATAGCTCTGTGCCCAAGATATGGAAATGTGAGAAAGAGGCCCCTCTAGTGACCTGAAGATTTGGGGAAGAACCCTCCACCTCCAGGAGAAGTAGAGGGATTGGCAAGATCTCACCCAGTCTTTCCTTCCCTTCCGTACCTGCAGGTGGTAGGCGTTCAACTTGGGTACGAAACTGGACCCTCTGGAAGTATTTCCAAATTACTTCCCAGTAAAGGTGACTATGCTTCCTCTGGGTTCCCTCAGTCCCTGTTGCCCAGACTCTCCCTCCCCATTCAGCCCCATGTTTTCAAAGGCTTTGGTGGCCAGCAGTGGACGTCAAGGCCCGGAGGCATAATGCAGAGCAGGGACCCAAGATGGATGGGCAGGTGGGGAGACAAATGGAGAGCACCTTGCCTCAGAGTGGCAGACCCAGGTCAGCCTCTCTGAGCATCATAACCCCTGGCAATCCTGTGACAGTGAAGACATCCCAGTGAATAGGGATTTGGGGCTGCCCAAGGGAAACACAGGCTACCTACCAGGATCTGAGTCCACATGTCCTCTCTTCCTTCTATCCACTACTCTGATTCAATCTCCCTCTAACAGCTGGTGAAGACTCATGACCTCTGTCCCAAACACAACTATATCATTGCCAGCCACTCCCATGGCATTCTCTCTTATGGTGTCTTCATCATCTTTCCCACTGAGGCCACTGGCTTTGCTCGGATTTTCCCAGCCATCACTCCTTATGCAGGGACCTTGGAAGGGATCTTCTGGATCCCAATTGTGCGAGATTATGTGATGTCAGTGGGTGAGTACAAGAAATCATTCCATTCTCTGACCTACCTCAGGGCTCCAACTTCTATAAGCCTTGACAGTCAGTCCAGTTCTCACTCCCTGCTGGAAGAGGACTTAGTAGAAAATGAGTCCAGAACACACTGGGCCAGTAACAGGAATATGTGGCCAAGCCTCAGGTTCTGTCCAAGATCTGGGAGGCAGGGTTTGATTAGGCAGCAGGATAAGTTATAGGCATTCATAAGAGTTGCCAAGGATCCTTTCAGAAGAGGAAGCAGAAGCCTGGAGTTCAGGATCAAAGCCAAAGTGGAAAGCAGAAAGCAAAAGCCAAATATCAAAACCAAATATAGGGAAAATGAGGCATGAATGGGACAGCTCAGATGAACTTTGCCTGACTTTTGGGGGATGTCAACTGGCTTCTTTTGGCCAGTCACTTATGTAGCAGCTCTCATCTCAGGGCGTCTCAAAGACACTTTTAAGTCTTTCATACTAGCTGGTACCCTCCTGGCCCATGACCCTCATCTCCTGAGAACTCCTTTGAACTTGCATAAGACATCAAGGGACAAAGGATAGGCCTCCGTCAGAATCCAGGACAACTTCTCCATGCCAGGCTTCAAGCTGGGGTACTGTGCCAAATGTCCTTCTCTTTGGATAAATATCCATCCTTCTTGACACCAGAAAACAACTGAAGCCAAACATTAAAAGGTAAGATACATTGATATCTGGAGGGGCCAGGTGGGGCCACTAGAGTCCCAGAGGATGGTTCTGCTCCCCTCTGAGGTTGGTATGAACCTGAATCTCAAGGACTGTGGCCTGGAGCCAATGTCTGCCATCCCAGGAGAGAACAGAAGGTGAGCACAGGGCAAAGTTGGGAAGCAGAGGTGAGGAAAGACTTGGTGACTGTTGTAGAGCAGCAAGATGTCGTCCTCATTCCATGGTTCATCTACATTTCAATTTGGCTTGGACAGGATCCTGGGTCTGCCTACTCTCCAGAACCCCCAGCCAATGGCTTCCCTTTGCCAGGTTGCTCTAAGGAGGAAGCAGGATGGTGGTGGCTATTCCTCATTACTCCTAGGGAAGAGAACTCTGGAGAGCCTCAATTGCCATTAGCCTGGGGAGAGTGGAAGACAGCTGTGGTTCCTGGGTAGAGAAGGAAGGGATGGGCTTAAATACTACAGAGCTAAGAGAAAGTAGGCAGAAGAACTCAATGTAGCCCCAACTGTAGTAGAACAGAGCTGCAAGGCAAGCAGCTGACCCTAAGGACCAACCTCAGGGCTAACCCAGGATGTGGAGGTTAAAGACAGAAGAGTGGAAACAAGCACAGTTAGGAGACAGAAGAACTGTCTCCAGCAGGAAGACCCTGGAGGAACCCCTTACCCTATCCTCAAGCACCAAGTTTGTTATACCACTTGAATCTTTGGTTTCACAGGTGTGTGTCCAGTGAGTGAGTTGGCCTTGAAGTATTTGCTGACCAAGAAAGGCTCGGGCAATGCTGTGGTTATTGTGGAGGGTGGAGCTGCTGAAGCCCTCTTGTGCCACGCAGGAGCCTCTACCATCCTCCTTAAACAGCATAAAGGTTTTGTGAGGTTGGCACTGAAGACAGGGTGGGTCCCTAGGTTCTGGTGCCCTATCATCAGGGTGCCATAGGTCCTCTGTAGCACCTCTCCAGAATGGTGCCCTTCCTTGGAAACCTGTTAGAGTGGGTTCCCTCTTCATTCTGATTGCTTCTCTCTACTTGCTCACACTGTGCCTTAAGGGTGTTTGGGCCTCCAGACACATTCTGGTGGGTACTTTTAAAGCCTGAAGTTGGAGAAGAAACAGTAAAAGACCTTTACCTTCTGCCCATTAGCCTGGTAGGCTGGGGGTCTGGGGAAGTGGGGCTTCAGTCTATATCAACCCATGAACTGCGAGGCCCAGAGAACTTACCCAGGGCAAGAAAGGCACTGGGCTTGATGCTGTGGGGATTGCAAACATGCAAAAGACCTGGATACTGCCCCCAAAGAGCATATAATCTGGTTTGAGAAATAGAATGCATTCATTCAGCAGTTACTGAACAGCTACTGTGTGTCAGGCATAGTACTAGGCATTAAGGATATAAAAATAGATAAAACCTGGTCCTTGCCTTTAAGGAACTCAGAGTCCAATGGAAGACAGACATATTCACATATAATTACAAAATATATCCAGAAGCCAACCACTTACCATCTCAACTATCGCCCCCTGGTTTACCACCCCATCGTCTCTCCCCTGGATTATTACAACAGTCTCCTAAGTGCTCTCTCTGCTTCTACCCTTGCCTCCCTCACACCCAAGAGTCTATGCTCAACCGTGGCCAGGATGATCCTATTCAGCGTGAGTCAGATCATGTCACTACTCCAAATGCTCCAGTGGCTCCCGTTTCACACCGAGCAAAACCAAAGTCTTTACAAGGGCCTGCAAGACCCTAAATTATCTTGCCACGTCTCTGATCTCATCAGCCACTGCCCTCCCCCTTGCTCACTCCATTAGAGCTACACTGGCCTCCTTGCTGTCCCTCAAACAAGCCACACGCTCCTCCCTTAGGGCCTTTGTTCTAGCTGTCCCCTCTGTCTGGGACATTATTCCTGCAAATAACTCTTTGGCTTATTCCTTTACCTTCTCCAGGTCTTTGCTCAAATGTCTCTTCTCAATAAGGTCTATCCTGACCATCCTGCTGGATCTTTTTCCCATTGCGCTTATCATCTCTTCATACGTCATCAATTTTATTTCTTTACATATATGGTTTTCTATTTGTTCATTACTATTGTTTATTGTCTGTCTTCTCTCAATAAAAGGTAAGCTCCATGAGGACAGAGATTTTTTTTTTAATCCATTGTGTTCACTGATGTGTCCCCAGGGCTTAAAAAAGTGCTGGCACGAAGAGGTGGTAGGAGATCGAGAAGATGGCAGAAGAGTAAGACGCGGACATCACCTTCCTCCCCACAGATACACCAGAAATACATCTACACGTGGAACAACTCCTACAGAACACATACTGAACGCTGGCAGAAGACCTCAGACCTCCCAAAAGGCAAGAAACTCCCCACGTACCTGGGTAGGGCAAAAGAGAAAAGAATAAACAGAGACAAAAGAATAAGGACGGGAGAGCGCAGGGCGAGGACCGGGGTTGGTGGCGTGAGCACAGCCTGCAGGGGATTGGTGCACCACGGCTGGCAGGGAGGGAGTCCGGGGGAAAGTCTGGACCTGCCGAAGAGGCAAGAGACTTTTTCTTCCCTCTTTGTTTCCTGGTGCGCGAGGAAAGGGGATTGGGAACGCTGCTTGGAGACGGGCGCGAGCCGCAGCTGACGGCGTGGACCCCAGAGACGGGCATGAGATGCTGAGGCTGCTGCTGCCGCCACCAGGAGGCCTGTGTGCGAGCGCGGGTCGCTGTCCGCACCTCCCTTCCGGGAAGCCTGTGCAGCCTGCCACTGCCGGGGTCCCGGGATCCAGGGACAACTTCCCCAGGAGGGCGCACGGCCTGCCTCGTGCTGGTGCAGCGTCCCGCCGGCCTCTGCCATCGCAGGCTTGCCCTGCATCCGTGCCCCACCCTCCCCCTGGCCTGGGTAAGCCAGAGTCTCCGAGGCAGCTGCTCCTTTGACCCCGTCCTGTCTGAGCGAAGAACAGACGCCCTCTGGCGATCTACACGCAGAGGCACGGCCAAATCCAAAGCTGAGCCCCAGGAGCTGTGCGAACAAAGAGAAGAGATATTTCTCCCAGCAGCCTCAGAAGCAGCGGATTAAAGCTCCACAATCAAATTGATGTACCCTGCGTCTGTGGAATACATGAATAGACAACGAATCATCCCAAATTGAGGAGGTGGATTTTGAGAGCAAGATTTACTATTTTTTCCCCTTTTCCTATTTTTGTGAGTGTGTATGTGTATACTTCTGTGTGAGATTTTGTCTGTATAGCTTTGCTGTCACCATTTGTCCTAGGGCTCTATCCGTCCGTTTTTTTTTTTTCTTTAAAAAAATTATTTTTCTTAATAATTATTTTTTATTTTAATAACTTTATTTTATCTTACTTTATTTTATTTTATCCTCTTTCTTTCTTTTCTTTCTTTCTGACTTGCTTCCTTCCTTCCGTTCTTCCTTCCTTTCTTTCTTTCTGTCCTTCTTTCCTTTCCTTCCTTCTTTCTTTCTTTTTTCTTTCTTTCTTTCTTTCTTTCTTTCTTTCTTCCTTCCTTCCTTCATTCCTTTCTTTCTTTCTTTCTACTTTTTCTCCCTTTTATTCTGAGCTGTGTGGATGAAAGGCTCTTGGTGCCGCAGCCAGGGGTCAGTGCTGTGCCTCTGAGGTGGGAGAGCCAACTTCAGGACACTGGTACACAAGAGACCTCCCAGCTCCACATAATATCAAACGGCGAAAATCTCCCAGAGATCTCCATCTCAACACCAGCACCCAGCTTCACTCAACGACCAGCAAGCTACAGTGCTGGACACCCTATGCCAAACTAGAAAGACAGGAAGACAACCCCACCCATTAGCAGAGAGGCTGCCTAAAATCATAATAAGTCCACAGACACCCCCAAAACACACCACCAGACGTGGACCTGCCCACCAGAAAGACAAGATCCAGCCTCATCCACCAGAACACAGGCACTAGTCCCCTCCACCAGGAAGCCTACACAACCCACTGAAACAACTGTAGCCACTGGGGACAGACACCAAAAACAACGGGAACTACTAACTTGCAGCCTGCAAAAAGGAGACCCCAAACACAGTAAGATAAGCAAAATGAGAAGACAGAAAAACATACAGCAGATGAAGGAGCAAGATAAAAACCCACCAGACCTAAGAAATGAAGAGGAAATAGGCAGTATACCGGGAAAAGAATTCAGAATAATGATAGTAAAGATGACCCAAAATCTTGGAAATAGAATAGAGAAAATGCAAGAAACATTTAACAAGGACCTAAAAGAACTAAAGATGAAACAAGCAATGATGAACAACACAATAAATGAAATTAAAAATAGTCTAGATGGATCAATAGCAGAATAACTGAAGCAGAAGAATGGATAAGTGACCTGGAAGATAAAATAGTGGAAATAACTACTGCAGAGCAGAAAAAAGAAAAAAGAATGAAAAGAACTGAGGACAGTCTCAGAGACTTCTGGGACAACATTAAACGCACCAACATGCAAATTATAGGGGTTCCAGAAGAAGAAGAGGAAAAGAAAGGGACTGAGAAAATATTTGAAGAGATTATAGTTGAAAACTACCCTAATATGGGAAAGGAAATAGTTAATCAAGTCCAGGAAGCAGAGAGAGTCCCATACAGGATAACTCCAAGGAGAAATACGCCAAGACACATAGTAATCAAACTGTCAAAAATTAAATAGAAAGAAAACAGGTTAAAAGCAGCAAGGGAAAAAACAACAAATAACACTCAAGGGAATCCCCATAAGGTTAACAGCTGATCTTTCAGCAGAAACTCTGCAAGCCAGAAGGGACTGGCAGGACATATTTAAAGTGATGAAGGAGAAAAACCTGCAACCAAGATTACTCTACCCAGCAAGGATCTCATTCAGATTTGATGGAGAAATTAAAACCTTTACAGACAAGCAAAAGCTGAGAGAGTTCAGCACCACCAAACCAGCTTTACAACAAAAGCTAAAGGACCTTCTCTAGGCAAGAAGCACAAGAGAAGGAAAAGACCTACAATAGCAAACCCAAAACAATTAAGAAAATGGGAATAGGAACATACATATCGATAATTACCTTAAATGTAAATGGATTAAATGCTCCAACGAAAAGACACAGACTGGTTGAATGGATACAAAAACAAGACCCATATATATGCTGTCTACAACAGACCCACTTCAGGCCTAGAGACACATGCAGACTGAAAGTGAGGGGATGGAAAAAGATATTCCATGCAAATGGAAACCAAAAGAAAGCTGGAGTAGCAATTCTCATATCAGATAAAAGAGTCTTTAAAATAAAGACTATTACAAGAGACAAAGAAGGACACTACATAATGATCAACGGATCAAACCAAGAAGAAGATATAACAATTGTAAATATTTATGCACCCAACATAGGAGTTCCTCAGTACATAAGGCAAATACTAACAGCCATAAAAGGGGAAATCGACAGTAACACATTCATAGTAGGGGACTTTAACACCCCACTTTCACCAATGGACAGATCATCCAAAATGAAAATAAATAAGGAAACACAAGCTTTAAATGATACATTAAACAAGACGGACTTAATTGATATTTATAGGACATTCCATCCAAAAACAACAGAATACACATTTTTCTCAAGTGCTCATAGAACATTCTCCAGGATAGATCATATCTTGGGTCACAAATCAAGCCTTGGTAAATTTAAGAAAATTGAAATTGTATCAAGTATCTTTTCCGACCACAATGCTATGAGACTAGACATCAATTACAGGAAAAAATCTGTAAAAAATACAAACACATGGAGGCTAAACAATACCCTACTTAATAACGAAGTGATCACTGAAGAAAAGAAGAGGAAATCAAAAAATACCTAGAAACAAATAACATTGGAGACATGACGACCCAAAACCTATGGGATGCAGCAAAAGCAGTTCCAAGAGCGAAGTTTATAGCAGTACAGTCCTACCTTAAAAAACAAGAAACATCTCAAATAAGCAAC